CGCTGGGTGGGGGGCCTGGAGTTGGGGGGGCGTGCAGGGGAGGGCCCAGCTCTGGGCAGTGGCCCCACACACCCCACCCTGCTAGCCTGTCCTCTCCAAAGCTAGCAGCGGGGTACATCCGGCAGCCCCACAGATGAAAACAATCACCCTAACAGCCCAACGCGGGACCTTTCAGCGCCAGGCCCCGGCCAGAGAAGCTTAAGTGCAACTCACTGGCCCGGGATCTGAAGTCCCTTTAGCAGATGAGGAAACAGCCCTGATGCAGTGAGGTAACTAACTGGCCCAGGCAGACGACAGAGCCGGGATTCGAACAGTTCTCATGGGCACTGAAGCTGCATAAGCACGATGCCCAGCTGCTGCTGCCTTGTTAGCAGGCAGGGAAACTGAGGCCCAGGATAGGAAAGGAAGACTCCCAAGAGGCACAGCAAAGCAACTGGACTGGGGTCTCTGGGCCCAAAGAGCACAGAGGAGCTGTCCAAGGCCCCATACTTGTGTCTGCCTCTCCGTGAGTGGAAAACCCTTCAGGGACAAAAGATAGTCCTGCATGAAGGGGGCGAGCGCCGATGTCCATGGTGTTTCTGAGGTCAGAAGCTTCTGGGTTCAAGGTCTGCTCTGGGTGCTCTGAGCTGTGAAGCCCTCACTCACCCTGTGTTGTAAAGCGGGGCTGACGGTGCGGTCCTCGCCAGGCTGCAGTCAGATTTCCAAGGCGGGGCCCCACAGCACCGAGCCCCACAGCACCGAGCCCCGGGCCTGCCAGGCGGGAGGACTCCTCCAGCGGTGCTCCTGAGCCTGGGTGAGAGCCAGGCCATCCATGTTCACTCTAGAAACAGGAAGCATCTCCCGTGTGTCCCCATGGTGCCAGTCTCAGTGGTGCCTGGGACCTGGCCTGGGGAGCTCCGAGAAGGAGCCCACGCCCCTGGAGGGGGACATTTAGACCTGTCCTTTGAAAGACTGGGCCAGTGGTAGAGGGAGAAGAAAGGAGTGAGGAGGGCATGCCGGGCAGGGGGACCAGCCTCACGAAGGCACAGGGGCAGGAAGTGACCAGATCACCAAGGTGGGGTGTGGTGGGGACAGGGAGCCTGAGAGGCAAAAACGACAGGATTTCATCCTGGGGGCCACTGGGAGTCGTGGAGGGCTCCTGAGCAGAAGGGTGCTGGCAGAGAGGCCTTTCTGTGTGAGATGGAGCTGGGACCCTTCTCTCTGCACCTACTCTGGTTACAGGTGAGGCATCCAGGCCAGGGAGGAGACGGCGGCAGCCCTAGCTGCCTCTGGGGGGAGGGTGTTAGCCCCAGGTCTGCGGCCTGCTCTGTCCGGCCTTCGGTGGCCTGCCCCAGTGCCAGAGCATGCCATGTGTTTGTCTCCTCGGGAGCTGACACAGGTGCGAGGTGGGTGTGGCTCCTTGGGTGGGGACTGGGGGAAGGTTCAATCACCGAGCCCAGTGGCTACCCAGTCAGTTCCTGGACACGGGGTCCACAGAGACACTTCCTTGCCCAACAGACCACCACGAAAGTGCCAGCCCCCTGCCTTGTCCCACAGCTGCAGAGATGGGGAGGTGACAGCTGAGGCAAAGGGTGGCTTGAGGGGTTGAGGTGGTGTGAGGGTCTGTGCCTCAGGCCCGGCTAACCCAGCCCAGGGCCTGGACTCAGCCTCTGCACCGGGCCCACCCTGGGCGTTGACCTTATCAGCACTGAATCCTCACAGCCACCAGGAGCTGGTGCAGTCACTCCCCCATTTCACAGAGCAGGAACCGGAGGCTCCTGAGGGTTAGGCGACCCCAGCTGGAAAGA